AACCGACTGATGAACTGGCCCATCATGGCGTCCGTCATGGTGAGTTCCCTTCAGGGACTCTGTGACGTCGCTCCTTGGGATCCGTGCAGAGCGAACGCACTGTGTCCGAAGTGGGACCTCGTCCCGTAGTCAGGAATATTTCACTCGCATTCCAGTTTCTACCAGATTGACCTACATGGCCACGTTCTCTTTGACCCTCTCAGAGCAGATGTGGGAACCGTTCTGTTGACTTATTACAACATTTAAGAAGCAGAGAAACAGTTTATCTTTAATGCCGGCGATCAATCATCATGTCGTCATGTTGAACTTTACTGCAGAATGTGAAACATGCAGCGAAAAGGAGGCACGACGGCGAGTCACTCAGCTAAAAGTACACGTTATTATCATCATTACTGATACACTTATATTATTATCATCATTACTGATACATTAACAGATGTTTACATCACTACAAATACATCAACAATCACCTGATATGTACGTGGTTTCCAAAAAGGTCTTAAGTCAAATGTAGAATGTAAAAGTACTTCAAATGTGTCCTGGAGTTCTAGTACTTGTTTGCTGGTTGACTTTGTCCCATTTGACCTCCGCTTCCGTCTCTCAGATCAACTTCGTCCTGTTCGTCAGCATCATCCGCATCCTGGTGCAGAAGCTGCGCTGCCCCGACGTGGGAGGAAACGAGCAGTCGCAGTACAGGTCCTCATCCACCGCGCGGCTGTTACACTGCGTCCACCATGAGGTGTGGACGCACTCATCAGTGTGTGTGTGTGTGTGTGTGTGTGTGTGTGTGTGTGTGTGTGTCCTCCAGGCGTCTGGCCAAGTCCACCCTCCTGCTGATCCCTCTGTTCGGAATCAACTACGTGCTGTTCGTCTACCTGATGGAGCCGGCCGACACCAACTTGAGGCACGTGAAGATCTTCTTCGAGCTCGCCCTCTCGTCCTTCCAGGTAGCTCGCCGCGCTCGCTGTGTGTGCACGCTTAACGACACAGATACAGAAGTGAGTGTCTGATCGGTGCGTGTGCGTGTGTGCGTTTCAGGGTTTTATTGTGGCGGTCCTCTACTGTTTCCTCAACAGCGAGGTGAGTCTGCGCACTCGGACCGGATCTCTCCCCTTTAAACGGCGCTGACCTCTTCGTTAAAAACGCCCAAAAGGTCCAGACAGAGCTGCGGAGGACGTGGAGGAGCTTGTGCCTGCGGCGCTACCTGGGGCGGGACTACCGGACGCACGCCATGTCCGTCAGCCGCAACGGCAACGACAGCTCCGCCCACTCTGCCAGGAGCTCCCGGGCCGTCCCGCAGACGGAGACCAGCGTGCTCTGACCGCAGAGGCCCGTTGTCATGGAGACGCTCAGACGTTTCTGAGAAGATTCATTTAATGAATTTACTTCAAAGACCCCACGACTGATGACCTCATGATGTCATGACCGTCTTCACCACAAAGACGCCTTAAAGAATGTACAGAATGTTGTGCTGAACAACCCAACTCATATTTTTTGAATTTTTTATTTTATTTTCGTAACGGCGGTCCAAGAAGCAGAATATTTCATGTGAGATGAATCTGAGGACCAGTGTGGATTAAACGGCGACATCTGGTGGTGTGTTTGCAGATGGTCGGCTAATAATAATAATAATAATAATAATAATATCTATATTCTAATGATAGTATCTTAAACTAAAGAGCTTCATCGCTGAGGGAAACGTCTCTGTGACCAGTGCAGCATGAAACACTCTGGTCATGTTTCTTCTGTGAGGTGTTGTGATGATGAGATGAAGCTCGCTGTCACTTCACCTCCAACCACACGCCTGATGCATCATGGGTAGAACATCCAATTCTTCACAGCTTCTGGTTTGTTTTTAAAAAAGGACTCGGGTATAATGCAGGTAAAAAGATCAACGCCGGATGCAGAATCTCATGTGAACTTTTATTTACTTTTCAAATAAATAAATGCATTTTCTTCGTTGTATTCATTAAGTCGTACACAGTCACTTAAATAAGCTGGGTATTAATAAATACATGGATACTCCTTTCAGCACTGCTCTATTAAATTAAACTAATAAATAATTTCACTCGTAGAAATAAACTAAATACAAATAATAACAATTTAACATGGTGTTTTTTTCACATCAGTTCAGTTCTTGTTTTCATCGGCTGGAGGTGGAGAAGATGCTCGTCCAAGCTTCAGGCACCTCGGATGAGGAGGAGAGAGAGGGGGAGACAGAAGGGGAGGAGGAGGAGGGGGAGACAGAGGAGGAGGAGGGGGAGGAGGGGAGAGAGGAGGAGGGGGAGGAGGTGGACGTGATGATGGAGAGGAGGGAGACAGAAGGGGAGGAGGAGGAGAGAGAGGAGGAGGGGGAGGAGGAGGAGGAGGAGGGGGAGGAGGGGAGAGAGGAGGAGGGGGAGGCGGTGGACGTGATGATGGAGAGGAGGGAGACGGGGGACACCGTGGCTTTCTGAGCATTTGCTTCCCTGTGAGTGACAGAAGCAGGTTTCAGTCTCGGTGGGACGCGTCGTCGGAGCGAACGCAGAGAGAAGAACTCACCTGAAGTCCTGGATCTTCTTGTGGACCCAGGCAGCCTTCAGGGGGCTGCAGAAAAGCCCCTGCTCCGTCTGAAAGCTGCAGGGAGGAGAAAGAAATACAACGTTAGGACACAATCGGCTTACAGCTGCTCTTGTGTTCATGCAGATATAACATTTATAAATGTAGAAGAGTTAATGATCAAACTACTGGGCGGTGATACTGTGATACTGTGATTTGACGCAGTCAGGACCTTGTGTGTTATTACTAATCTTTAGACGGGTTACTCACATGACGGCCTTGACGCAGGGCGGCTTGGGTGCCTGCACCATGAAGCTCAGGATGGGAGCCGTGATCGGGTCTTTGCCCACCGACTCGCAGCACGACGACAGCTTCTCTGCTAAACGCACACAGAGGTTCACAGGTCACACGGGGCCGTGCACAACGCCACCCACGGCCTCTCAGGAGCAACTAATCCCTATTCACGTTACCTGCAGATCCAGATTGGAACATGGTCACCAG